TGAGTTTAAACCAGGGTTGGTTGCTACCCCAGAGTTGAAGTTCTCTATGGAGGTTGTCTACCTGTCTTAAATCTTACTATGCTAGAATTGATCTTTTTTTTTTTTTGTAACTTTCTATTGCACCAGTTTTTCCTCATAACCAACTTAAAAATATGTGTCATTCTGATGTTCTTTGGTTTATACTTAAGAGTACACTGTAGCATGCTAATAAGGTCATGGATTGGAATGTTAGAATTGCTACTATTACTTGGCACTTGTAGCTTTTGGGGGTAATTTTTAGTGGTGTATAACTGTATATTGGTTTGTGGATTCTGTATGTAATCTTTGTAATTCAATTTCATTTAACATAAAGCTTCTCTTTTATGTTCTTGTTTATAATTTGGCTGTATCTGATATTCAGAGAAAACTACCTAAAATAAACTAGGCTCTCTTATTACAGTTACTTAACTGTCTGTCTTTTTCGACATTATTGCTTACATGGTATATTAAATTCTTCTGATGGTGTTGATTTGCTGTCTGAATTCTGGTGTTCACTCAATTTAATGGATTTTCTGTTCATGTTGTTTACCTGATGAATCTTGCTATAACTCTTATAACTTATTACTTTGTAGGCTTATTTTGTTGGAGAGAAAATCGGTGAAGGAACTGGTATAACCAGAAGGGAAGCCCAGCAACGTTGTGCAGAAGCTGCTTTGATGAATTTGGCTGGTAAGGTTACCTGAAAAAAATTTCCATCTTTTTTTGTTTTATTTATCATTTTCTTCTCTGCCTCTCTATAAACTCCATTGCTTACATATCAACAAATTTGGCTTTACTGCTACAATAACATATCTGGTATGGAGATGCTGTTCCAAAATACTAATCCTGCCTTTCCAATATGGAGTTGATGTCCTGTTCCTAAGAAACAAATCATTTCTACTCGCCACACTATCAAGGAAGCTCGTAATTTTATTATACTCCTATAAAACTCCTGCTTGTATACCAAATTACCAATCCGTCTTCCTTCCCTTTCAGCATGCCTCAGTTTTTTTTTTTCGATTTCATTGTGAGAATTGTGAGATTAGATGTTTTCGTTGTTGCCTTTGATTAACCTTGTGTTGTTGGCTATTGATTAGAAGCCATTTCTGATTTCACATTGAATATTGTCCAGTAGATTAGTATTCCCTTCTGCATCACTTGTATCGTTGGATGGCTTGTATCTTTGGATGGATTTTATCTTCTGGCCGGTTGTACTTGGTTATTTTGTGATTATAAAAAAAAAATTCTTCTCTCCTGACCCTCTTTATCTCATTGTGGAATCAAGTAAAGGGTTTCGGTATATCAATCCCAAAGATTGAGGAATTCTTCTGCTTTTATTATCATATCAAAAACTCAGTTCTAAATTCCGCAACTGTTTTTTTTTTTTGGTCCTGCCTTCAAATGATTGTTCTGCTAAATTGCAGATACTCATACATATTTGATTCATATGTAATCTGATTTATTGGTGATTCTGAGCATTTGATACTTGGTAATTGCAGATAGATATTTGACCCATAAGTCTGATGCTGGCACACCACAAAGTGATACAAGTAGGGGTCAGAGTCCAAGTGGGATGGGTTTTGTTAGTGATGCAAATTCAAGAAAAGAAGAGACAGTACCTTCATCGGAGCTCACCGGACTGGATGACTCTATTGTAGATGGCTCTAAGGACCCCATGGGCTCAGTTCCTGCTCTTAAACAATTGGTAGGTGGTAATATATATGTCTATCGTCAAATTTTGCCTTCTCTTTTAATCTATATGATTGAATTATTGGTTGTCATTTCCAGTGCATGAGAGAGGGTCTTGATGTGGATTTTAAAGGTCAGTCTCCGACTTCAACTAATCAAGTCAACAGAGATGAAATACACATGGAGGTACTAAATCTAGCGTGAGGTTACTTGTGATTTTGTTTTGTTGTTTTGTTTAATTCCATCTGTCCAGAATAAATTTCTAATAATTTTTTTTTAGTACTTGCAAGTTTGTCACCTTGACTAACATGTGTGTGAAAGGGGGCCTGTGAATAGTCTGACTATGCAGTCATGGGGGGTTGGGACACTTGTATCTGGGCCCGATAAATGGAGATCTCTTTCATGTGACAGTGTAACAAGGTTCTAATGATTTAATCTTGGTTTCACTTATTGATTGTGTCTCTCTGGTCTAAATTGTTATGTAGGTGGAAGTAAATGGACAAGTTCTGGGCAAGGGCACAGGATCATCATTGGATGAGGCAAAGATCCAGGTATTAGCTCTTTCTGTTAAGTCTTTTGCAATCCTCCAATATCTTAAGAGACACTAACACGTGCACTTTCACACAAAGAGACAGATTGAATGAACTAGAATTGTGTGGCCTCTTTATCAAGGAGATTATGTAATCTTTTTCTGCCTTTTACCAGGCCGCTGAGATGGCTCTTGCAACTCTTAAATCCATGCTGGGTCAAAACACTAAGCGTCCAAGTTCTCCGCGGTTAGTACTCTTAGACTTTTCTGTATAATTAGTTTGGCCTTTGTATGCCCAAATCTTATCTGTAGAATAGTTATGGATATTGTTGATGGCCAAGGAAAGGCAGGCAGGGTGATTAAATTTGAAATCAAAATTAAATTAACATAATCTCAAGATGGAGTGTAGAGCAGCCAAGGGTAGTAAAACTTGAGTTTATGAGTTCTTGATGTATGTTTTTTTTAACATGATACTCCATGCTTCGGCATTGAGAAAGGGATGATAGTCTTAGCTGCTTAGATTACAACGAGAAAATACAAATAAATAAATTAATTAAAATTTTTAAAAAATAAATGAAATCTTAGTAGGCTTTGATTGTATCTCATAAGCTGTGAGCCTGTGACTTTTGCTTGGAATGCTATTGAATTGACTTGCTATAAGAGTTTTTCACTGTTTGATCATATGAATTACAGGTTGTTGCAAGCGATGACCAGCAAACGCCTAAAACCAGATTACTCTCGGGTTTTAGAACATATGGCATCTTCAAGATATCCAAGGAATGCATCACCTGTGCCTTGAAACCAAGAACTGCAATGCTTTCTTTTGTGATCAAATGGTGTGGCCATGTACAGTAATATACTAATATCCACACCTGGCACCAGCATTGGGTGCCTGGACCATGGGACCCCCTTCATTCCCCTAAGAACCCAATTTTTTCGATCAGCCTTCTTTGGATACTTAAATTTTCTTGACAAACTCGAGTAATTGTGTTGAGGTTGATGTCGAGTGTATGCTTAGAACCAAAATTAAACCATTTTTCCAACTTATCCAATTTACCATTTTTCCTACTTATCCAACTTTGAGATTATTCAATGGTCGTTTGGAAAAAATGCTGAAGTCTATTCATCACAGTCTATTCAGTGTATAATCTCTTGGAGAATCGGATATGATCTTTTGAGATGTCTCTTCACCCTAGGGCTTTGGAGGGGTATATACTTGACTAGTAGAACGCATGATGTACAGTTGAGACTCATTGCCGTAGAAGATTGGTTAACAAGCATACCTCTTGGCGATTTTGGTCAAGGTGGCTCTTTGCTTGCAGGACGGGGAAGCTACATATTTTTGGCTTACATATACATCTGACAATGGCAAACTTGGTCTGGCTGAATTTTGTTAGAAGCCAGTACATTGACCAATTTCATTCTGATGTATCATAATATGCCTTGTATGATATTCATAGCATTTTTATAGCTAGTATTAGTTGCACAATAGGATCATCATATTCTGCAAACAAAACCTATGAAAAGTAGTCATTAGTTGCAGCAATTTTTGTGCAGAATTTGCAAGATCGAGCCGAGTTATAAAGAATACTCCGTATTGCCCATTTTCTTTCAGGCAAAGGAGAAATTGTTTACTTCTTGGATATATTTATACTTTGCAGTGCTTGATTTTCGAAAGTCTAATAAAGAATGCTCAACAAATATGTTCAAGAAACACAACTTGAGCATCATTATACAACAACAATGGTATCATATTTACAAGTTTGATCACTTAATAGTTTGGAAGATCAACTAAACTGAAACATATAACAAGGATACTGCAACATATGAGAAGGCAATAAAAGTCGCCTTTTATATCATACCTAGAATTGATTCAAGTACAACACGATTCAAGTAATAAAATTCATAAAATACAATATATAATGTTTTCACACCTTTTTTTTTTTTTTTTTTTGCACTATTTACATACCATGATTGACTTAATTTTTTCACCTCCGTAAAATAAATACATGTTTTTTCATGTTTTTATATAATATATCATTAGATTAGTCATAATGTCTAGTTTCATGATATAATTTTGTTATAAGTTTTACTAATAATACAATTAAAGATATGGTCAAAGTTGCATTTCGACAAATGTACCGGTCAAACTAATGCAAATAAAAAAACACATCAACATGATTATTAAGTGAATTGAACCTTTAATAACATGATTATTGCTAAATAAAACCTTTAATAACACCGACATTATAACAATAATAGATTTAAAAAAAATTAATAATACTGCCTCCGTTTCATATTCCATGTAACGATTTCCTCGAAAAAAAAAAATTACGCGTAACGATTAGCTATTTTTACTCACATATTAGGTCAAATAGTTGGAAGTAAATAAAGTGGAGGTACCTGTTTCTTTTTAATTGAAACGTTCGTTTGTCATGCACAAATTCAACCGTTAATAAATTTAACCACAAATAAGTAATGATTATAAAAAGTTGATATTTTGAATATATCATGGCGAATCTAATAAGACCCCACAAATTATTATTTTCATTACGCATTAATAATAATCACAAAACACGATAAAAAAAATCTATAATACTCCGTAGTGATTAAGTAAAAACGTGTCAACTAAAAAAACAAAGGTATTCCGTAGTATATTACGAAAAGTAATTTTTTTAAAAATGACTTTTAAAAAAAATTACGTAAAAAATGATTAAATAATTAAAACAAAAGTCTACCGATAATTACTACTTTATGAGTCATATAAAAACTCAGAAACTTTGGAAGCACCAGTAAAATTTCTCAGATCACCGAGATCCGCCATTTTTGCACTCCGAGCTCTCAACCTACTCTCGGAGAACCAAATCTAGAGAGAGAAACTACGCAACAAGGAGAGAGAAACCTAGAGAGAGAGTCACCATGTCTTCCTTCGACACCTTCAGCAACGATGGCGATGAGCTCAGAACCACCGATCCTCCCTTCGACGATGGTTATGGTGGCTTCGATTCTTCGCAACGTTTCGATTCCTCCGGTTTCGGTCCCGCCATTGATGAGGTTACCGTTGAGACTGAGGTTATCGAAGATGATTCTCCGATGCCATTTGGTGGAAACCCTAATTATGCTGATTCTCCGTTCAGTGATCCGATCCCTGTTTCTAATGGTAATGGAAAACCCTACGATTTGGGAGCTGATGAAGACGGTATTTTCTCCTCTGATGGTCCTGTTCTTCCTCCACCTGATCAGATGAATGAGGAAGGGTCTGCTCTTCGTGAGTGGCGTCGGTGAGCTTCGATTTCTCAGATTTGATCTTAATTGTTTTGTTTTTGTTAGATCTATTGAATTTTGAATTTTGTTTAGATTTTTGTTCGTGTTGATGATTTTGTTTTGTTTTGAATTTTGAGTTATTGTTGATGTAGAGTGTTTGTTTCAATCTTTAGATGCATATACTATATGATTATAATTGAGTGAAACATTAATTCTTCTCATTATGAATTGGATCCAAGCTTGGGAATGAATTTATTGTTGTATTATTAATCTATTAGGGAAGTAATTTCATAGAATGTGTATAATCTTGATTGGTTAGGGATAAGATTCCGTGTGTCTCGAGTGTTCGTAGATATTGCCATCATTGAGATTTGTCTTGCTGTGGCGGCGGTTTTAATTGAATTGTGCTAATCAGGCAGTGAATCTTGTTGTTAGATCTATCTGGAGTTTAATTCGAGGATTCGTTGGTTCGTTGGGAAATTTTTGAGATGCTTCCTTAATATGGTGTTATTACATGAGGTACTACCCAAACATCAGACTATGAGATCCGGATTATGTGAATTCTTGTTTTAATAAAGTAGTATCCTTGAGGTGTTAAAAATGAAGATTCAATTAAGGCCGCATTTGGTTAAGAAGAAATGATTTGGAATTGAAAACTTCTTTTTCAGTGCTTGGTTTCTTGCTGGGAATGTTAAGAGAGAAATAGGAGACTGGGGAGATGAAAAGGGAGTAATTTTCAGGGGATAGAGGGACTGAGGGAGGAGTGGAGGAAGATGAGAGTCGTTAGACATGTGATGAGTAATGTGGCATTTTCTTTAGTCTTCAAATAAGTAAAATCTTATTTATTCCCGGGAAGACATAACTGAGCAGGCCAGCTTAATTACTTTTTCAAAAACTTGAAAACTACCGTTCTGGGAAAGATATTCTTCCTCAACCTTAATTTCATTTTTAACAGCATAAGAGTGAGATGTTCCTGTATTAGTAACACAGACAAGGAAAATATAGAAGGAATTAGGCACTTTACATGCTTTCTATGTAGAGAATCTGAGCACACTCGATTACTTATGGTAATGGAATAATGAATTCATGTATAATTTTTCAAAAGAAGCCCCTACTACCTCTCCCATTCAGCCTCGAAATGACCACCCCCAAACTATTTACAATCGCTCCAGATTCTGTATAATGCTCTCAGTCCTCTAACTACACCACTAAAAGCTCATCCCGCTTTGCTAAAGTTTGCAGTACAATCTTCGACTGCATAATTGGCTGTTTCTGACATCATTTATTACAGTACAGTATTGTTTGATGGTTAGTGTTACACCTGATGTGTAGATGGGAGATATTAAAGAATGGAGGGTTGAAGGGTAGAAAAGAGTGCACCATTCACCACCGATTTTGGTGTATGAGCATGTTAGTTTAGGTAGTTCAAACATCGTGTGCTGTACAGCTATGCAAGTAATTGAAGAATTTTGTTTTGTAGCTTGATGATGTTGCCTAAGTTCGTCCAACTACCAAAAGAAGATTGTGATATGAGAAGTTGTCCTGATTCTTAATTCCTTATATTCACTTATAACATGAGGTTATATTATATTATTATGTAGAACTGCACTATTTTGTAATCTTTACAACTCATACCTAATTAAATATTTAAGCTTCGTGCTGAAGGTTAATTGAGGTAAGATGTGCATCACAATCACATTTTATTGTCTCCATCACTTTGTGTAACTAAGATGACTTTCTAAAGTTGTCTCCTCTTATCTTTGTTTTAGGATTAAGTGAGGTTCTGGTGAGCGTGCAATATTTATTGAACTTTAAAAAATTGTAGATTTTGCTAAGAATTGCCTTGTATCTGGGAAGAAAGAATCTTTAAACCATTCTCGGATTGACTTTTGCTTATAAATACAATAGCTAAAATCCTTTCACAACTTTTAATTGCATTAATTAGTTGATGCATGCACCTCATTAGCAAGGCATTTGTTGTTAAATAATGAAAGATATAAAACTAGCAAGAAAGAAATCCAGGTTTTGTTTAAGGCTATCTCTAACTTTCCAGAGTGCTGGTAGGTAATGTTTGTTTAATTAACAGTCATTGTATTGGCTAATGTTGCTTGGCGCATTAAGCCTTCAATTCTGAACAGACTTATACTTCCTATTTCTTAGGCTTTGCCCCCAAGTCCCTATCTAATCTCCCAACAATAAAGTAGTTGATGTGGTGCCACACTGCCTCTAGAGAATTTTCTGGAAAACTGTATTGGACTTATCTATATATGTTGTAGTTGTAAATTGAACACATTAAAACTTATTTGAACTTGTGGAACTTATTGGACTTGTTGAAACTTATTTGATGTATTGTTTCTGGAATAAGTTACAATAAGTTGAACAGAACGCCCCCTAGGTACATCTCCACGCCCAGTTATCCCCAAGACCTTATTGAGCTAGTCTATGACCTGTTGACTAATGGCCATAACGTCCCTATTAATTAGGGTTGAGTAAACCACATAGTAGACCAATTTTCATTTGGACTGTATTATATAATGGGTTTGCCACAACTTGCAAGTTTTCCAAACTAAATGTAAAAGGTGGACTTTGATGCTGGGCAATCTTAAATAGAAATGTGATATTATTTAATGGAAATGGTCAAATGGAGATGACATGCCAATGGCTAGGCTACTGTGAGCTTTGCTGTCTGTGATTAATATAATGTATAATACCTTTATCATGCTTGAAATTTTCAGACTACCAATATTACATGTGTTATATCTTTCATTATTCAATTCAACAACGGAATACATGTGTTTTTAAAAATCACACACATGTCGCAGGTTAGGGGAAAGGTATATTGGTCCTATGATAACACATGTGTTTGTTCTTCCTTTGACCCTAGCCTTTTTTACTTTGCAAAGAATTTGTAAGCTGGAAAGAATGTTCTTTTTGGTGGTACTCACTTGTGAATTTTTAGATTTTACCAGGAAATATATTAAGTGTTTAAATTTGTTTTGGATGGTGGTGGTACAGTCAAAATGCCATTAGGCTGGAGGAAAAGGAGAAAAAGGAGAAGGAAATGCGAATGCAAATCATTGAAGAAGCTGAGGAGTACAAGCGTGCATTTTTCGAGAAGAGAAAACTTAACACTGAAACCAACATAAAGAACAATAGGGACAAAGAAAAGGTATATTTTATTTATGCTGCCATGCTCTGCTTTATTGCCAATTTCACCCTTCTCTAAATGTATGTTCTATGGGCTTTGCACTGAGCAGATATACTTGGCCAACCAAGAGAAGTTCCATAAAGAAGCAGACAAACAGTACTGGAAAACAATAGCTGAACTCATTCCTCATGAGGTTCCTACCATCGAGAAGAGGAGAGGAAAGAAAGAAGAAGAAAAGAAGACATCAATCACTGTTATCCAAGGTCCAAAGCCTGGGAAACCCACTGATATGGGCAGGATGCGACAGATACTAGTGAAGCTGAAGCATACGCCCCCACCCCATATGATTCCACCAAAACCTGAGCCTGCCAAGGATGGCAAAGATGGAAAGGGCGGGAAAGATGCCAAAACTGGTAAAGATGCAACAAAAAAGACCTCTGGTTCTGAAAAAGGTGCTACTGCCAATGGTACTCAAAAGTCCGAAGCTGAGCAACCAACCCCAGAAGTTGAGCAACCAGCCCCAGAAGCCGAGCAGCCAACTCCAGAAGCTGAGCCAGTAGCAGCTGCTTGATTGATTATACATGAATATGTTGTCCAAATCTCTTTTTTGCTTGTTTTATTTTCATACGGGATCCTAATTACACACTCTTCTGATCCTCCCAATGTCATGTATTACGGAGAAAGAAAATGATGTATTTTTTGTTCCGTGTTCAGTCCATGAGACTTCTGTCTTTTTTCAGGCGTAGAATTTATATTCTTTAGTTCTCTCATTTGGGGAGTTGGTATCAAGGTTTTGGATTTGTTTTTCGTGTTATGTTAACAAAAACTCGAAACTTGTTGCTCCTTGAGAACTTTTGCTGTAACAATGTCAATTTGTTAATTTTTTCGTAGCCAATTAATTTGTTAAATTTCAGTTTACTTGCACCTGTACGCTGTAGTTTATGACATTTGACATGCATTTCAATTTTGCATTGGAGTGGCAAAGTTTGTAATCTAAACTATTATTATGGTAATAATATTTCATCTGTCCTTGAAAGCTAGGCTTTTCTCACCTTAGAAAAACAGTTTTAGGAACTATAAGCTACCCTTGTGAGATGTGTTTGTACTCGAGAAAATAAAAAATAATAATAAATAAATGAATAAATATTACTTCTGTTTCACATTATTTGCTACAATTGAATTTTTTTTATCTTACAAAAAATACCCCAGTGTTGCTTACAATGTGAAACGGAGGTAGCAAATAAAAGCATTCAATATAGAATCCCATAAAATTGGCTCTTTAAGAAAAATAATCGCAATGCATCATGGTGTACTGTCAAGCCGTCCTTTTAACACTGATATAGTTATGCATCTTGGAGATTACCACTGAAACAAAATTATTATGCATCATTCTCATGCTGATAGCTGCTAGAAAAAATTAGACATCAAATCTCTTTCTATTAAATCATCAAATAGGATCTATGCGCCAATGTCTGCCATTGAAAGGGCGCACCATAATGAATGAGAAACAATACTTTGAAGAATCAATTAAAGAATTATGTCTAACTTCATTCTTCATCTGGGGATCACTTCAGAGATGGTGATGGGGGCAGAGCTAATGTGAATAGAGCTAGAGCCAACAGATGTCTTACCCTTTTGGGTATCTGGAAAGAACCCTGGGGCTGCCAACTCCTTCTCGTTTAGACGTACTTTCGGAGACAGCATTTCAATAACCTGACTCATCAGCGGCCTTCTATTAGCACCAGCTTGGGTGCAGAAGAAAGCCACTATCATGTACCTCATAACCATGTCCTCTGGATATTCCCCCATTTCTGAATCCACTAGCTCCAGTAATCTCCCTTCCTCGTACAATTGCCAAGCCTAGTGAATGAAACCATACCATCTCTATGAGCTAGGTAAACCATATTGTCAACCAGAAAGCATAACAACTTTAAACAAATAGCATATTAGTACAGGAGGGGAAGTATGAACTCAGAATAACTGCACCGGATGTTTGCTAGTAGTCTGAGCATTATGAGACTACCAAGCCACAAGTCATGTTGTTTAAGCTTTAATAAAAAGCCAGCCAAAAAAAGAGATGGAAAGATAGCAAAGAAAAAGGCTAAGGTGCAACGATAAATGTACATACCCATTCGAGAAGAAGTTTATTTGATCCACCCCAATTTGACTTGGAACTGCTTTGACCACTAACTATTTCAAGTATAAGCACACCAAAGCTGTAAACATCTGCCTTCATAGTCAGATGACCACCCATAGCATATTCAGGTGCCAAGTAGCCGCTGCATCATAATCCAAAAAATGAGTAAATTTAGGACTCCACAAATTTTCACCCTTTTTCAATCCCATTTGTTTTGGAATCGAGTGCAAACGCAGAACCAATGTTAAGGTGAGAATAATGAACTAATAATGTATAGGGCCTTGATAAAGATTCATCTTAAATCATCAATGGTCACAAATCATCAAGTTGAACTCAAAAGTGGAAGCTGAAACCCCACCTAAAAAGATATTTATGGCATAAAGCATTTAGCACAAGATGGGGTAGGTGCAAAACCTCAACTATGGAGTAGTTGACCATGACTTGGTTAGGTAACTAATGCTTTATACAATGCATTTTACAAGTCCGATCTTAATAAGTGTGAACCTAATAAATGGAGTGATTGACCATGACTTGGTTAAGTCACTAATGTTTTATACATTGCATATTACAAGTCCGATCTTAACAAGTGTGAACCTTTGAAATGGAGTAATTGACCTTGACTTGGTTAAGTTACTAATGTTTTATACAATTCATATACAAGCCCAATCTTATTAAGCAAGCACTTCCTGTCAGATGAACAGAGGAATGGAAGCATAACTAATAGAGAAAAAGCTTTGACAAAGTAAAGAATACGTACGTTGTTCCAGCTATTCTGGTGCTGATATGAGTAATATCGTCAGGGAAAAGTTTAGCCAACCCAAAATCGCCAATCTTTGGTAAAAAGTCTTTATCAAGGAGGACATTACTCGCTTTGATATCCCTATGCACTATATGTGGCACAAGTTCTTCATGAAGAAAAGCAAGAGCCTTGGCAGTACCCAAACATATAGCAGACCTCTTATCCCAATCAAGCTTACTACGATCACTGGTATAACCTAATAAAGTAACAGTTAAAACACAACTTTTTGCAAAGACCATCAAGTAAGAATCACTAAGAGGCTGCTCAGCTTATTCTATAAAAATTTTGATCTTACCTATTAATGCACGGTCGAGACTGTTATTTACAACAAACTCATATACTAAGATGCGGTTAGCTCCTTCGACACAGCATCCAATTAACTCAACTAGGTTTGGGTGCCTGACATTCGAAATAGTATTTATCTCAGTCAAAAATTCACGCAATCCTTGTTTTGATTCAGCAGAGAGTGTTTTCACTGCAACTTGCAGTCCACTTTTGAAGGTTCCCTAGCCAAAATAAACAATTAGATCAATAAGTATCATTCAGTCTTCTTAGAGAACCAATTGTATTTTATAAAGTACATGGGAGATCAATCACGCAACTGAAATAATATTTCACAAAGTGTATGGCTACATAATTACAGAAAGGAGTATAAATACAACATTAAGAGAGAACTTGAAAAAAATAGGAATTGTGAGGGCATGGAGATGAATTAAATGACAACTTAGGAAAAAGTGACTAAGAGAAAAATATTTAGCAGTCAATCCAAACACTAAGCAGTTAAGCACCATAAAACCACAACACAACCACAAGGATATACATCGATTACCTTATATACTGTTCCAAAGCCTCCACGCCCTATTTTATTGCTCAAATTAAAATTATTTGTTGCTTCTCTTAACTCGCTGTATGAAAAGTGTCTGATGTTCTTAAGCAACTGCCCTGTTTACAAAATAAAAGAAATTATATTAGCTTCAAAAGGGAAAAGGTGTTGAATAAAAAGGGGACAATATGGCTTCTTAAATTGTCAAAATAATACTGACAGTTAAAAACAAGATCAATAAGAAAGATGTAACTCAACCTAAATTCAGGGTGATAAATTCTGTGTGCTGGATTCATGGGAAAATGAATGTGCAACTTACATGGCTAAACCACTCATTCAAAAAGAACCGTCTCACAACACAATCAAAGAATTACTAAACATTAACATGTATCATGTATGATATATTCATATATGTAGAAAAAAAAAGTGGAACTACTAGCGGGAACTTGAGACTGAACCAATCACTCATAAGTCATAACACCAACAAAACAGATATCACTTATTCAACTGTGACTCGTGTCGCATGAAAATATAACCGTTCCATAATTGCTCCTTCTTCCTCAAACTGACCACATTTGACTTTTATGATCAAACCTTGTACTAGCTAAACATTGTTATGGATAGCTACCTAAGGGTAGAACATATACAAGATATAATCCTACAGAAATATCCACTGAGAATCTGAAAGGTCTTATTAAACCTTCGACAACAAAAGTCAAAAAAAAATTCCTGGTCTGAGTATCTATGTAGCATGAAAATGACTTGGGTTTTGGTTAAGGAAGCGTTTTGAAAACAGGAATTCCTTAAGTTTCAGCCATTTCCAGGTTTCATTAACGAGGAAACGGCGGGGTTTCAGAAACTAGGAAATCTCAGGTGTTTGCATGCTTCCAGTAGTATTATACGCGTATCATGTCACTTCAACCAATTCTTTACCATTACTTGTGCTCATGCTTACTTGTGAGAGTTGTGCACTTTTGACTACAACGTTTTGGGGCAGAAAAAATGGCCCTACATTCCCATGTTATAGAGATATCCTCGACTGATCATTAGTCATTAAGTCAATACAAGAAGTTATTACATTCGAGTACTCAATACCAAGAAACCCCTTCACTACGAGAAGGGAATAAGATAAATTAATACTAGACATAACCAGAATAACTTCTATTGACCAATTAGTGAGTCAGTGAGCAACATTATCACGATTACAATGAACTAATCAACTAAATTTTAAACATATTGTAGAAATTACACAATATTGAACATGTATAGTACTAAATAGTTAAGATAATATTATGTTTCTTAGTAAAGCTTACCGTCTACTTCGCTCAGATGTGCAGCAGGATTCTTTTTCTTCTGTGAAGAAGGGTTTCCAAAGCAGCCACAGTTCATATCTGCTTGTTTGCAAGATGTATTACAAAACTCATTTGAGACAAATCATTAAAGACAAAAAAAACCCCAGAAATTGTCTGTACCCAGAAATTAATACAGGAATTTAAGTAGTATAAGTATAAAAAAAATCCAATTTTTTTTTCTAAGTAACATTAAATTATTGAAGCAGCTTTTGCATAAACCCATCCACATGATCAGCAACATAAAACTATAGTATAAAATATTACCTCAGCCCACCAAAATATAAATCATATCATGATTATAGAATTAAATTACCCCCACAAACTGAAAAATGAAAATAAAAAAAGAAAAGAAAAATCCCATCATTCCTTGCTCAATCAAAATTGGAGTAATGAACTGAATCTTAGTTTACTTGAACTCAAAATTGAGCTGAACCTCATATCGAAGATAAAATGTCAAAGAAACCCAAATAAATTAAACACAAAAAAGATCTAAGACAAAACACCATGATCAGAATTTCAAGCATAATTCAACATAAAATCAAAATAAAACAGTACGGATTAGATAATTAATTACCTTGTGCTTGCAGAAGATGATGATGGTAGTTATCATTAAAAAGGCTTTAAAATCTGAACTTTAATACTAAAATTGATTAAACCCCTTCAACCCTTTTGACTTTTTTGGATTTTATAGGTAACAAACAAAAAAGTTTCCAATAGTTTTTTTATAAACAAAAAAAAAAATTAAAAAGATGGTTTTTATGGCAAGAAAATGGTCCAAAAAATTGATATAAAAAGGAAA